TTTTCTTAAGGAAAAATTTGCTTTTTTAGCTATCGGTAAAAAAGCGGAAATTGCTGGAGCAAGTGATCAAACAGGAACATACATATATTGAAGAAACAATAGCCACCGAACGACAGCGGCGCGTCACGGATGGCGTACTCCGGAAGGGTGTTCAGTATTTGGAAGTTGTTGAAAAACAACGGCTTGCGCATTGTCAAACAGCACTTGGAAGATTTCAACGCAAAATTGCTCAGCTTGGACCAAATCTGAACATGGTAGATTTGATTTTTGAACATCCTTTCTCTTTCTGTACTCATACTCGTTCATATTAGTCATACGTGTTTAACACAGGGTGGGTGAGAGGGCGATTTACTGATAATTCTCGCTTGTGCTCACACGTGGAGCTTTGTCTGTGTTTACGGCTAAGGAATAAAAACAGACTGATTCCTGATACGCATATGTGAATTATGATGACTATGCCTTTCATCCCAATATCCACTTTTTTGATGTATTCAAGGAAAAAACAAGACAACTTTCCTAGCTTTGTATCGCATTAAATATCGTTAGCATAATGACCAAAAGGTGACCACCATATAGTCCTCATTTATTTACCGATTCAGAGGAAGTGCGGTAAATTCTTTCAGTCATTTAATTTTTCTTTTATTTCAAGGATTTTTAAACAATGAAATAGGTTATCGCTGAAGGCCATCATAGTTATTTGAGAAGATTACGCAGAACGGTAAAACTGAAGTGACCATGATCAAAAAGAAAATTTTTGCTGAAAAGTGGCGCAATGCGCTTTGGAAGCATTTGATCACATTATTCGAGCAGGTCAATGAATTTATAGTTTCATTAAATTGCGGCGCACTGCTGCTTTCTTCTTTTGCAGATGTTTGAGCGATACATGAATGCATTGAATGATGCGGTGGGTGCTGATCCGGATGAGCAAATTTCAATGATTGTACCAACCTGTTCTGCCAATCATACTGTTTACCTGTGTGATTTTCATGTTCGTTTGCCTTTTTTTCCAATATGCATTTTTACATTTTTTAAAAATTTTCCTGATACTTTTATACTGTCGAATACCGAATACAGCTATACCTGGCCGTTTATTTTGAGCTGCAGTTCTGAACAGAAAATGAGTTTCTACTACCGACCACATTTTCACAGTAACATATTTAGGGTAGAAGACTGCAAAAAGTGGAGGATTCATGTTAGTGATGTTACTGGAATGCTTTCGCATGCTAAGTTCAGCTATGATGGGTGTTTCGATCCTAAGTTGCATCCACATGAGAACAAGCAGTTTTCAGAAAGCAGTTTTTCATTATCGACCACATTCTCACAGTAAAGCAGTTGATTGAATGGTGTAGGAAATACAATCATCGTGAGGATTTTAGGTGATTTTATTGGAGCGCTCCCAAATGCCGGTCGCGGCTATGCCGATTTAATCACAAAACATATAATTTTCGAATCTTTGTTGCTGTAGCGGGCACTTATAGTTAGGCTATGAATGGAAATTCACTGAGCCAGGCAAGCCTCTCGTTTTACTGAAAACCGATGGACGACTGGTATCAGTAAGTACTGCCCATCAGAATGAGCAGGACCCAAATGGCCATCGAAAATGTAGTGCACTTACATTTACTGGATGCAAAAAACTCGTGAGGATCTGCTAATTGCATTTGTGTCCTAGTAACATCTTAGATTTCGCATTAGCTAATGGAAATCCTAGAGAAAATTCCACTTTCAGGCTGAAAATTTTGGTGAGGTTATGGCCAGCCAGCGGCGACGATGGGCATTGGAACGGGTAAACGCAATAATTCAGGAACATTTGGAACGCAGCCAGCAAGAGCTGATGCCAATGTTGCCGTCAGCTAATGTTGCAAACTTCGTATGTTTCATTATTTTAAATTAGCATTCCCAAATATAGCTGGGTTATTGTAGTACTAACACAGATCTTAGCACTTGTAATATACTACATGGTTGTGTCACTTCCTCGTCTTTTCCGTCACAGATACTCGCTTGTACCAGGCCAGTATTTTAAATTCTGTTTTCATCTTAAAGTTTTGCTGATAAGTATGACGCATGAGAAGTAGACCTGTTGTCCTGATCCACAGCCGAGGTTCGATTTCATCAGTGAGAAAACTGTTTTCTCTATAATTCATTCAATCGTCCCGATTATAAATTGATAATGGTACAGCCAAAAGCTTGCTTTTATGCAACCTTCGAGAGAGGGTACCGTCGACGGCCGTGCCAGCGAGTGGTTACTGTAGTACTTGCAACCACTCGGGCCACTTTCCGTCGTCTTGGTATCTCACAGAGAGTAAATACTGAGGGGTCTTGGTTTTGATTCTAGATAAGCAAGCAATTTTGCTAACTACTGAGTATAAAAGCCTCTTTTCCTTAGATTATTCACTAGTAAATTAAGGCTTTGCAAAACAATTAATTTGTAATTTTCCTGATTTTTGTAAATTTTGTGTAACCTATTGTATAAACTATTTTACAGGGGTATACGGAGTTTTTGGAATATTTAATATACAAAATCGACGAGGCACTGAAAAGTATTGATGGAGCACAGAACAGGGCGTATCACCGATTACTTCGCTTTCAGCAGAAGTTGAAAGATAAAATGGTACGTTGACACAAAAATCTCAGGCAGTAGGCAGTAAGTAGAATTGGCTTTGGCAAGGACTAATGCCGTTGTAGTTTGGTTAAACAAAATAGGGCGATGTGAACTTGAAACTGTCGAGGTGTGAATGTATTTGGGTGACATCGTCGAAGCTGCTCTCTCCCCCAGTCCTGGATGAGGTGCCTTCTCCGATTTGACAACGCGAGCAGTCCAGGTTTGTCTACGCTTTTGCAACTAGACATAGTAAATAACAAAGTCAAAATCAACCCTCTCAGCCTCTCTGTGTAATTAACTTTCTGTGAGAGGCGAAGGTACTTAGAAATACTCTTGATAGCACGTGCCAACAGCAACCATCCACTGGCAAGGCAGTCGATAATAAATAAGGTGTGAAAGTAAAATATTTTAAAAAAAAGTAAAATTTGACGCGCGATTTCTAATAAAAG